ACTCACTCTCACTTTATCTCTTTTATACACCCTTTCTTAGGTATTGATATCAATCTTAATGGTAAATACAAGACTTGCTTTCGAGGGACTGTTTTGAAAACAACCCATTGATTCGTCTTCGATTTTCGATCTACACCAGGCGTCTTCTTCTGTGCCCAAAGCTGTGCCAAGCATATGATATCCTCCGGCCGAGGAGGCTCGATAATCTTTATTGGGTCCATGAGTGGAAGGTCCGTCCTCCTCCTTCTTCCTCCCCGCTTTTTCTCTATTTCTCTCTCTCTCGCTCAGTCAATGAAAACTCTTCTTTTTTTTTGCTAGGATTGTTAATTATCCGCAACCCCAATGTGCCTGTACGTCGACATATCTTGCAAATCTCCTGATCATTATTCGTCCTTGGCTTACTTTATCTCGCCCTATATTCAGATAATGCAAGCAAAGCAGCGGTCATCCATCTCATGAAATCTTTGGCTGCGTAAGTCCAGTGAATGTCTTATTACTGTTGTTGATCATATCGGCTCTGAGCACTCTTTGTCCTGTTTCCAGCGAATGGGCCCCTCATAAAATCCGTTGCAACTCGATCTCCCCGGGCTATATGAACACCTTATTAGTCGAAAAATTCGAGTATGTTCTGTTTGATCTTCATGTTTTCCTCGACATTCCCTTGACTAATCTTCTTCTTTTTTTTCCCCGTCTCTTTCTTTTTATAATAGTCCACTCTTGAAGAAAACTTGGTTCGAAAGGACGTCAGTACAATGGTTTTCCCCATCTTATTCCTTTTTTTTTTCTGAAAGGCTTTTTTTTGGGGGGATTGAAATAGACCGGTTGGAAGAATGGGACATGTGTCCGACTTGAACGGAGGCGCATTATATCTAGCCAGCGATGCTTCTTCCTTCACTACGGGCACCGATCTCTTGATTGATGGGTTTGTTTCAACTCTCTTTACGTATGGGATTTCCTTGTTTTTTCTTCACTTGACTGACCAATTAACGCTTTCTTTCTTTCAGTGGTTATTGCACGTGGTAAAACAAAAGGACAAATTGGTTCTATCACTGACATCAACAGTCCTGGTTTTTTTTTAGTCTACAAACATATCTTTCTCTACTTGCACTGCTTTCACTCCTCACCTTATCTTATCTCTATTTTTTTTTTCTTTTCCATTCTACCTCGCTTTTCCCTTTTTTTTTCTCTTTTTTAGAATGATCAATGAGCAAAATGTTTTGTAGCTTGATTTCCATTTGTTTTTTTCTTTTCTTTTTTCTTTTGTCTGTTATCACAAAAAAAGAAATCGTGCCAAGAGTAACTGAGATGGACATAGATAGAAATGATAGATTTTTTTTGGTTATGGTTGATGCAGAGCCCCTTTTGAAAATCGATCTTTGAGTGTCTGTGAGACCATATAGACTTGGGGAGAGCTACAAGGGGAGTATGATGTAGCACTCCGCAAGGTACTTTTGGTGGGATGTGAGGGCATTGCAGCTGTCAAGTTGGATTGGTCATCAAGTATACATTTCAGAGATCTCTATCAGGTGCTCCCATCATCTTGTGTGTGCGTATCTTCAGATCTCTCTTTTTTTTTGTTTTGCAAAGATGTCGATTGTTCATGCGCCAAAAAAAAAAAAAAATACAAGGAGCAGGAAGAGAAAACACTGTTCTCTCCCATCGATTCGGCTTCTTTCTAGCTGGGATCTGGGCCTGTTTGTTTGTGTGTATGTGGACAGAGTCTCACCGGTCTTCTCTCTTTTCGTTTCTCTGTCTTAATTGGAAAACCGACCTCTCCATCTAAGAATGACAAAAACACACACACAATCGACAGCAGGAAAAAGAAAAAAAAGCAGAAGACAAATCAAATCAAATCAAAAAAGAAGGAGAGATTGGGCTAAGATCGTTTAGCCTGTTTCGCGGCCCATTCTTTCTTGGCCAGTTGATGGGCAAGGTCGTTCAAGCCGAGTCTGTTGCGACAGATCTCGATGGCATAGAACTGGATCCGGGTGATGAACATCGTGTTTTTCTCGGTGTAGTCTTCGGCCGCATTTGTCCGAATCAAGGTGCCGAAATTATAGTCCGACACTATCCGGCCCCCCGCCCCCCAAAAAAAAAATGAGAGTTGAATTAAAGGGAAAGGATTATGAAGAGGGGGGGATGACTGACCGGTGGATTCGAAGAGCTTGATGTACTTGCGCCAGGCTTCTTTGCCCTCCGCACTCTTCAACGATCCCTCGTCGATCCTCTGCAACGCCCCGTCCTTGTTCGCCGCCATTGCCGGGAACGCCGCCTGAAACTCCTTGAGGATCTCGTCGTCATGTCTTGGTGGGTGTCGGATTGTGGGGATGATGATCATCCTTGATCAGTCTGACAGGCGAAAGGGAGGGGGATATATATATCTCAGGGGGGAAGTCGCGGCCGTCGACTTACTTGGTTAGCTTCATCTTGCTCGGCGGGATCGCGCCGAGTAGGTTCCAGTAAGTCTCGGCTTGCTCGATGCATCGGACTGCGAATCTGCGAGTCAATCCATCATCCATCGTTTCAGAGTCAGTTCCAAGAGCCCATCATCCGCAGTCAAGATCTTCTTCTTCCAGTCCGATTACTCAACTGTTTCTCGATCTGAAAGAAAAGCAGACGACGTCATGAGGCGCTTGCGATGAGGAGGAGAGAGAGAGAGAGACGGGACTGACTTCGGGCAAGTTGGGCGCATTGGCGGCATCGAAGTTCTTCGGGATCGGGTCCGATGGGATGTCCATTCTTTTCTCTTGGGCCCGGTCTGCTGGGCTTTGTTTTTTTTTTTTTTTGCAGGTTTTTTTGTGTCGGTGTGTTGGGAGCTGGTGGTGGTGGTGGTGGTTCTTTCTGATCTTGTTGTAGTTGTACCACGTTGCTCATTGGCTCCTCAATATGATCGGTTGTCTGTGTGGAATGGTGGATTACGTAAGCCAACTTTATGAAAAAAAAAACTGAGTTAAATTCTGCATACAGACATGAAATACATACAAAATCAAGCCATCTGGGGGGCCACAAAGTCCTCCAATATAAGAGACCATTCATGTCCTCTCTTGAAACCTGTTGATTCCAGAAGCAAGTCCCACAAAGCTCATTATGTGCTGGCCACAAAAAGGCTTGATCAAACTCGGGTGTGTGTTTTTTTTTTTCACCGGCAAACAATGGAGGCTTCCTGCTGAGATC